ACTCAAAACCGGGAAAAGTGCCCTTCGTATCAGAAAAGAATAAGCATGTATTGCGAGAAGAAGAATAAACGTCGATATTTGTATTGTGCTATTTGTTTTCCATGGATAATGGCACATACAAAGATTTAAATTGTAACTCACTTTATAAACTCTGTTTTCGTAATACAAAGAAATAAAAATAATCTTTTATTTAAATATAGCATTAAACATTCATAAATACATACATATGTATATACCATGATTCAGTTATAAAAGGTTTTGTAAGTAGGGTTTTATAAAAATTTGATACTCGTCGAAATATATATTTTTTTGTTTGGAACACGCTATGCGATTTCCTTAATTCTTTTTTTAAATGAAAGGTGGTACCGCAGAGGTTGTCTCATACTAATTTGTATTTGAGCAGATAATTGGATCATGAAGTAATTAACGGTATTCTAAAATGTTTATATGCGAATCGAAGTCGGTTTTGTTTTTAGTTTAAAAATTACTTGTTTCTGTAACGGTACATATTCAAAGCCTGGGATTTTGTGGGACGTTGTAACTAGTATTTCGACTGCTGAGTGAAAGATCGACCTATCTCGGCAGCCTATCGAAAACGCCCTATCTCAAAAAGTTTTCAAAAACGTCCTATTACAGAACTTGGTTGAAGAACACCCTATTTAAGAATTCATTTCAAAAACGCCCTTTCTCAGCTGCCGATTCGAAAACGCCCTATATCAGCACATTTTCAATACATTTTGAAGTGAGATAGGGCGTTTTTGAATCGTATTCTGAAACAGGGCGTTCTTCAACCAAATTCTGAGATAGAGTGTTTTTTAATAAAATTCTGAAATAGGTCGTTTTCGAACAAGCTGCCGAGATAGGTCGATCTTCCACTCAGCAGTCGATTTGTAACCTACTTGCAACAAAATAATTGTTTTCGGTAATTTGTCGCTTACGATAAAATCGTACACAGGGGTCGATGTGTACATATGAAGTTCTCCAAGTGAAATTTTAACCTTAATGTTAAAGTCGTGAAGTAAAACCAGTAATTTTTAAGCAAAAATCAAAACCGACTTCAATTCTCATATAAAAGTTTAATAGTACCGTTAATTTCTTCATGACCACATGCTCGGATCTAAACCAAATTAGTATAGGACCACCCTTGAGGCAACGCCTTTCCGATAGAATAATCGATATCGGTTGACGTGGTCCAAAGTTATGCGGTAACATAAATAATAAAATATATATATATATATATTCCGACGAATTGATAACCTTCTCCTTTTTTTGAAGTCGGTTAATAAAGTACCGTTGCAGTTTGTACCAAGATAATTAAAGAAAATTAAACAAAAAATCGATGTGCCAACTCTGAAATAAAATAAGAAAGTTCTGAAATGCTCGAGGTTTTGGCCACTACTGGTAACTCCAGTGTGCAACTCTCAGATTGGACTATTAAAAATTGGAATAAACTGACGAATAATTAATAATTATTAAATTGGAGGAATAAGCTGGCCCACTGGGTCCCGAAAATAGACCCATACGAACATATCGTTACCTTAATATAGAAATTTCCTAACTCACATAGTCGCTGAAATGCAAAAATGCCGTAACCGACTGAGTTTTTTTATTGCTTTAAATCAGTGGTCTCTGAGCACATGTGTGTTTCACACGTATATGATGAGCGGTAGCTGAGCAGTGCTTATAACGCACACAGTCTCACTATTGAATCGTTTGAATGTGTTAGAATGCCGACCTCTGCTTTAAATGATGTGGGGACTTCGATGAAATGCATCATAATTAATTAAAGAGAGAATTTTGGATCTTTACTTAAGAGCGAAATACACAACACAAGCGGCTTGTCAAACATACTTCAAACCTACTTTTCGCATTTCGCCATACACCATGCAAACGTGACTCGTTGAATCAAAGAATTTAAGTTGTCTTCTGGTCCACAATGTTAAAAATTATGGTTTCCTTAGATTTTCCGAGGTGTTAGGATCTCACTCGGTGAAAATTCCGTTGCAAATGGGGCGAATTAATCAATCACAGCGCAAGAGGTTTGACCAAACGTGAACATGGCAGCCAGAAAATCAAAAAACTTATGGGCGAAACACACAACGCAAGCCGCTTGACAAACCTAGCGAAATATCCCTTTGCTTTAAGCCATTTGTGTCGGGTATGGGGGTGTTTGAAGGTTGGACCAGCTGTTTGAGGGAAATTGGAAGGAAACCATAATTTTTAACATTTTGGACCGGAAGACAACTAAAATTCTTTGATTCAACGAGTCACGTTTGCATGGTGTATGGCGAAATGGGAAAAGTAGGTTTGAAGTATGTTTGACAAGCCGTTTGTGTTGTGTGTTTCGCTCTTTAGTTACGGTTTTTTGTATTTCAGCGACGATGTGAGATAGGGCCTTACTATATTAAGGTAACGATATCTGTGGACTTTTGACAAAACAGCCTCTGTGCTTTCAGTAAGTTGGAATTTGGAGTAAGTTGTAAGAAACTTCCATTTGAAAATTTTACATTTTTATTTAACTTTCATTAAGATACCATCTTGAACTAATCCTATTAATGACTAAACATAAAAATATCACTCGAGAACTCAATGAATTACTGCTTTGAAGAGTAAATGACCTTACTCGATAGAAGTTGTTTTGTCAAAAGTCCATAAATACATATGTACATACATATGTATCTATAGATTATAATCATATGTACATGTGTATTACCCGTAGCGCTCTCCATCAAGTAAACAAAAACGACTGTGGAAGTTTCGTCGTTGGTTTTCGTTTCGAGTTTTAGTCGTGTGCACCGATGAAATTTAGTAGAATAAAATATAGTTGCAGCCGTGTTGAATAGCTTAGAAGCTGGCACACATTTGAGTAGAGTTGACGTACTTTCGTTTGAGTGCATTCAACGCGTTTGTTTGTTCTTTAATTTATTTCGCACGAAGAAATCTTTTTGCAATTCTATTCACAACTAATTTTTAAAACAGTACCAGACCCAAACAGAAATTTACTTTGAATCAATTATAAGCTAAACTGAGTGGGCGATTGCCATTTGATTCACATTGAACTATCACATTAATAAAAAAAACTAGCATAATACAAAATTGAAGGTGTAATCAAATTAAGGACAGTGGCAATTGAAATAAAAATCAAAGCGAAATTGCAAAACTATCTCAGAAATCGAACTGCAACAAGGGGCTGGCCAATAAAAAACAAACAAAACAAATGCACAAGCTTGCTGTCGTAGTGTATGTGTAAATTGAATTGTCAGTCAAATATATTAGATAACGGGGCAGTGTGTGCCGGCGGCGGAAGTGCTCTTGAACTTGATATTTGGATAGTAAATACATACATACAAAATACCCGTTGGTTTTGGATAAAGAGAGCTGTTGTGGAAGTCGTAAGAAAATTAGGTAAAGCAGAACGAAGAGAATTGAATGCAGAAGCATATCAAGGTGCAATCAAAGTAAAAACAATTCATTGTCAAGGATATTCGCACCGCATCGGAGGAAATTTTTGAAACTGAGACTTCAACAACAGAAATATGGAAGCTCTTGGAGATTTATTGGCGCCATATAGCGAGCATATTGCTAAACTCGCTGGAGCGGTAACTACCTTACAGATTCTATCTGGGTTCTTTTTGCTTAATGATATCCGGAAAAAGAAGTCTAGTGATGAATATCCGCCGGAACCATTCATCGTTGGTCTTGTGCTGTAAGTAATTGGTGAAAACGGGAAATTAGTACACTACTAAATTCGATTCAGTTAGGGTTGCAAGCTCCTGGTATAACCCAGAAGATAATTTAGAGAGTCCTTCTAAAGAGAAGCTATTCGAGAAGTCAAAGCGGCGAGCGGCTGAGCGGCTTAAAATTAAACATATGAAATGCTATTGAAGTGGCCACGCACTGAGCGGCATTTTTGTATGGCGCCGCTCAGCCGTTCAGCCGCTCATTGCGTGGCCTCGACCTAATCAAGGAGCGCTAAAAAATCACGACTTCTAGATGGGGTTTTGCTATTTATAATTTACGTGAATGTATAAGTTTAGGTAATTTGGCCGTTACAAATGAATTGAAATATGCATTTTAAGATGCAATACAGGCTGACTCCCAAAACGTACCAATACAATGTTTGGATACTGTTCTACTGCGGTATTTAAACTGTTTTTATATGCCGAGTTGCGAAACATTAGGAGTGTTCGCTATGCAGAAAATTTGTACAAGTTGGTACCAATTGTTACCAAATCGTGTTCGTTTAGCCAAAAACCCAGTAAAATTTGCAAGGAGAGAGCACAATTTTGACATTTCATTTGGAGTGGAAGTTGCAAATTCGTACTGGGAAAATTTTTGCCAGTAAAATTTTGACGTTCGTATTCACCACGAGAAGTGTCAAATTTTTACTTTAATCCGTCAAAATTTTCTATTTTCTATCAATTGGCACAGGGCCTTAGAGCGTAAAAATAAGTTACTCTCGCACAAGTGTCAAAAATGTGTCAACACGTGCCAAAAGTCCCAGAGCGTGAGGAACGCAAACAACCACATTTCGTGCCCGGAATCAGCAAATAAGCTCTAAACAATGATTTTATGCGTATTTACCTTATAGGCCAAAATACAAGAGCGCAGTGGCAGTGACAGTTTTTAAAATCAGCTGTTACTGCTGATATTGGCAGTCATTGCCGCAGCAATTACAATATGGCGTTGTCAGTGACAGCTTTTTTTGACATTCCCTTTTGTTTGTTTACATTTTTGTTGTTGTCTTTTAGGCTTCAGTGACATGAACAGAAGTTGGCTGCATTTTATTTATGTCAAATTCAGCATGCGAAGTTTGCTGCGATGAAGGCAGTGGCAGTGAATTTAGAATTTGGCCTAAACTGAGCAGTACTGCCAGCTGCCACTGCTGTATTGTGAGTCGCTTCATTGGACACCCCACTTTCTAAAAAACAGCTGATTTCGAAAAATTGCCACTGCCACTGTCACTGCATTATTGTATTTTGGGCTTATATGGCTAATAAAATTAGCAAATAACTACATTTTCTGAAACTTTTGTGGCATTTTCCATTTCCACAACAGCTGTTATGGAAATTTGACTATTTACACATTTGTGCCCGGAAAAAAGTCTGGGATGTTTCGCGCACGAAGAAGAATGAATTTACGATCCAAAAGTGGAACGTATTCGCTCTCTATTACCCATTTTTATAGCGTGAGCAATACCGTTTGTACATAAATACATATCGAAGAATATGTCGTCTATACATGCTTATCTATGTATATACATATATACATACTTACAAATACGTCTATTCCAGGCGCTACACTGTTTCCCTGCAAAAATCGCGACTACTCCATGCATGCGTGTAAAGAGTACTCCCTAAGGACCAAAGAGTACTCCAAAATTAACCACAATTCATACAAAAAATATGGTCCAATTAACATTGCGATGTCCTAGGGCAGGACCATATACTCCATCCCTGCATTACATCAGAGTAGCACAAAACTACTCCAACATATTAACAATGGCATTGTTGTTATATTTTTTCGTTTGTACACGCTTTTGTTCTTCACTTCTCAAATGCTTTTTCGAAATTAATAAAAACCAAGACAAAAATTAAAAATTACATGTTGCCTCTGACGGTATTCGAACCCGAACATGCTGGGAGCTAAGAACTAACAGCGAGCATCTCTACACGTTCAGCTATAGCCAGACATGCAAATGTGCTTTCAAATGCTCAACTTCAATCACGTTTCGTTAAAACACGAGCAGTGATCGGATAACAAACAATAAGCTGGCGCAGAGACACGAGTTGGTCCGCTACAGCATGACAGAGGAACACTTTTGTAAGTACTCCAATTTACCACAAATAGACTACATGGTCCAACGATTTTTGCAGGGTTTATATCTTCCTCGTTGTGATAATGATGGAACGTGATAATTCTTGAAATCATTTTAAAAGTCATAATGACACGCACTTTTCTTGCTTAGATAAGCACTGAAGTGGTACAATGTACACCAGGGGTTCCTAAACATTTAAGATGATGGAACCCTACTAAACACCACATCAAATTACTAAAAATCAAATGCAGTGCAATTTATATATGAATAAACACTTTTACTAGAAATAGTATACAAAACTTATTTTAAGCGCTTAAAATATAACAATTTCTAGATATATTCTCCACAAAATTCTTTCAAAATCATTAAAAGACATAAGATATGCTTTTAAATTTCGTTTATCTACGTAAAAGCATAGACAGACGGCAACATTGATCCGGATTAACGCCGCAATTACTCTGATCAAAATCGTGCCTTGACAGACGGCAGTAATGCGGATTAACGAGCCGCGAGTTCGTAGGTTCGAATCGCACGGCCCGTAGAATATTCATTTAATTTCTTTTTATTGATTCAATTATAACTTCTGTATTTTTTATTTTAAAGTTGTTCTGCAAACTAGAATAGACATTCATCCTGTCGTCGGTAATGCAGTCACCAAAATAAGTTCTTATTCATTTTAAATTGGATTCCTTTTTGAATTAGAATGGTGACTGCATTACCGATGCTAATTTTGAATTTTCCCTGTATTCTACGCTCTCTGAGTTTTGGTCAGTGCTGTCATCGAAAATTCCCTTAATCCGAGTTAAGTTTGGGAATTAACTCTAGGACTTAATCCGGATCAACTGGAGTTAATTCCCGAGATAATTCCGAATTAGCGGTAAATTTTTCCGGCAGTGCAGTGACTGCAGTCTAGTACAATTTTCCGTATTCGGAAACGAATAGAAAACGACTTAAATTTTCATTCATTTGCGTATGTGGAAAATGTTCGAAACGTTCGAAAAAGATAATGTTATTTGGAAGCAATAATTGTATTTTATTTCTTCAAGCTAAACAGTGGCTGGACGTGCAGAGGAACGTGCCGCCATTTGTTAGCTTCCAGAAGGTGCCGGGTCCGAATTCCGTCAGTCGCTTCCATAATTTTATTTAATTTTTTTAGCCATGAAAAAGTATCTGTGAAGTGCAGTAGGAAAGCGTATTGAGCGAAAAATTCAATCAGCCGAATTTCAGCAAAACACCCAAAAAGGTATACGTTTCGGTATTTTCGGTATTTGTTTGTACCAGAGTTGTCGCGAATATTCGCATTCGCATTCGCAACCGCGGAGCTTCCGCATTAATTTTAACATTCGCATTCGCAAAAATCAATGCGGATCTTTTGCGATGTAAGGGCCGGTTACTCAATGTCTGGTTAACACTAATCTCCGGTTAAACATAGTTATCGACGTTACCGACTCCCTGTTGTATGCAAAAGGGTGAGAAAATACCTTTCCAATGACACCTCTTAAGTCTAAATCGGAAGAGTTTAGGTTCAGTTATTCAAGTTTTTCCTATGCCAATCTTTGAAAAAAGTTAAAAAACATCATCAAAAATCTCATCAATACGATTCCGTTCAATTTCTTTTTTTTTTAATATCTTTATGCAAATATTTTAAGCTTAAACCGTGTTTTAATTTGAGGGGACTTTTTCAAAAAAAATCATTAAGAAACTATTTTTATTCATAAAAAACTCAATTTTTGGAGGTATTTTCAAATCGGTCCAGCTCACTTAAATCTTAATATTTTTCCGAAATATTTTGGTGGACGTCTTAAAATATAATAGATTTTATAATTCCAATGGAAAAATAGTACCGATTTGATTTTGTATGGGGAGCGATGCAGTCTAATGTATATGCTAAAAATATATAAATAAACATAAGTTCCCAACAATATAATTTTGAATTTTGACCATATTATTTGACCTTAAGGGTACGTTAATACATACATATGCATGCAAATGTACCCACATTTAAAAAGAAAAATCATAAAAATTTGCTCAAAAACTTATCTAGTGTTCCGCTTAAATATTGCTTGCATAACTACTCAAAAATAAGTGACTTTCCACTTGATAGCCGTAATCTTCAAAGGCACCAGCGATAAACGTTATTTGCAACACATTTACATTATGTACATATGTACATGATAAGAAAAATCCAACATTAAATACGTATGAACTACATACCGGTATATGGCATGCTGACACCTAATAGATATTTATTAAAATGCATTCCTTGTCAAATTTATATAATTACGTACTTAACATTATCAAAGCACTTCGAGAAATACTGCTTACATACAGTTATATGTACATATATACATATGTAAGTACAATTTAACGCACCTGTAAATTCTGTATTCTGCGTCAGCAACCAATCACAAACCTTGGCGTGGTTGTATGACCGCGTAAAACTGGTTACTTAGGCGTTGAGCAACACTCCACCGACCATGTCATAAAAACCGAGATACATGTAGAACATTTTGCAGTATCGCCGATATCAGGCTTTGGTGGTTAATTAATACAATTTGGAATTTTATTTGTAGTCATATAAAAATACTAGCTGTACCCGGCCACGCTTTGCTGTGGCATATTCCTGTTATATGGATGATAAATTACTAACGAAACAAATCATATATACGTTTCATATGTGTTTGATTTTGTAATTGTTGTTTTCCATTCTCTGCATAGATATCAAGGATATCTGGTTTGCCGAAACATGAACACGCAACATCTGAGAAACAATCCGTTGCCGTTGCAAAGTTTTGGCTGATTAATATTACCCAACATGATAATTGGAACACCTATTTTCAATTTCAGTATGTGGGGTGATCCCTGAAAGATCAATCGAGTTCAAAAATTCCGTTGGATAATTAACTGCTTCGTCTTTTTCCAATCGGCGTATAAGCTATTTCCTCACTTTGAATACTGGATTGAATAACATTAGTGGTATTCACCCAAGTGAGCAAGTGGGCTGACAGTCTGATAAAAGAGCAGATCAGCGCTCAAGCAACGACTGTTGTCAACGTCACTATTATTTTGTTGACAGACATCCTTATTCTACGCAGCAAAAATAGCCCGTTCACTGAGATAGTCGTGATTCCTATAATTAATTTTCTTAATAAGGAAACATTCTTTCGATCAGTTCTCCTTTCGATGTTTCTAAGTTACAAAAAATATGAGGCAATAAAATTCGTCTTAATATTCGTTGATCACTTCGTTTGATAAGATGTTGTAAATGCTATCTTTATTTAAATTGTTCGGAATTTGGATAAGTGGAAAGATTTGAAGTAAAGCTTTCCCAAACACTTTTCGTTTTAAACCAGTTATGAAATATTTCATTTAGTTTCAACATTTTCAGTCTTTGCTTTTAGATAGGTGATAATCCTACTGCAACTATTTCCAAATAAATATTTTTCAAATGCCTTTCGTTTGGTACCCATATTGTATCTCAAACATATTTTCGATTGTAAGTCATCTTAAAACTCTTTAGTTTGACACCCACATTGCAATACTTCATTTATTTAATCAATTTAACTGTGTTTAGGCCTCTAGACTAAACCAAACAATCCAAGACGGTCCACCTTAGTGCTTAATAATATACATATGTACGCACACATCTATAGGTGTATTTAATAGAAACTGTCATAAACTTTTCCCGCCAAATTAACTATCGTTGAGTTTCCCCTCCGAACAGTTTTACTGTTTTGAGGTTTAACTCAATTCTATTGGCGCGGGCACGTCTTTCCCCGTATTAAACCAGAAACCACCTCAGCCACCACCCATCGTCCGCATCCGCCTTACATTTGTACTTATACATACATAAATAATAACACTATGCGACAGTCAAAATCGGGATGGGATGAAACCAACGGGAAATGTTATATCGGTCAAAAACAAGTTATACGTGTCCCGGCGTTTCGATGGGTCACGTCTAGGAATCGAGATATATATATAACTATCATATAGGGGAAATTGTCACCTTTGGTGGTCTTTTTTTGACATAACTCGAGAAAGACTAGTCCGATTTTGCTCAAACAAATTTAAAAAAATTAAAAATTACAATTCCTTTAATCTGTTCATATAACGTTTTTCTATATAATTAACAGTTTTGCCGGTAAAAATAAATGTATGAAAAAAAAAATATTTTTTGCCTAAAATATTAAATTTTTTTAAAACTGTTGATTATATAGAAAAACTTAAATTTACTCGAAGCATTGATCTTTCATTTGCAAGACCCAGTAATTAGCGTTTGTGCTGCTGATTTAAAGCTCAGTTATGCAAGACTTTGACTTTGACTTGACTTGAAAATTGCACATCTGGCAAATGAGCAGCGCGTGTATGTAGTTACCTAAGAAAACAACTTGACTTAGAAACTTGGAGAACTATAGATTTTGGATTTCTAAGTTAAATCAATTTTTAATTTTTTAATAAAATCCCTGCAAATATGCCACAAAAACATGATTCAATAATTAACGGTTTGCTCATTATTGACATTAGACGTTTGACACTCCCTTAGCTGTCTTACAAAAGCTTTGCACACACACAAAAACCCACACACAGTGCTTTGCTAAAGGTGTTCTTACACGATATGTGTTTGCATGTGTACATGCCACCTTTTACATATGGAAATGTCAACATATCGTGTAAAGAAAAAATTAGATTTGTTTCTGTTGTTTGTTTACAAAGCAGATGCACGTACATACGAAATAGGAATGTTTCTATTTTCATCTGGCACACAGATAGAATCATCTGAGTTTAGTTTATATCGTTTTCAAAGAAAGTATTTTTAAATAATTAAATAAAGACTGTGAATTTGACAGACATACGCAATTAAATATGTATTGAAAAAGTCACATTTACAGATGCAAATACATATCGTGTAAGAACACCTTAAGGGAGCCGATTTTGTCAAGAGGGAGCGAGAAAACTGCTTTTTGAGCAAACCTTTTATTATTGAATCATGCCACACAAATATACTTTTTTGTATAAATGTAATTCATCTGGCAATCGAAAAACAAACTCTCAAATAAAGACAGAAAATAAAATTTAAAAAGTTTGAAAGCGTAAATACATTTATTTTAATTGTAATTTTTTATCTATTTTTTTATTATTATTTAATTTTTTTTTACAATTTTACGTGTACAAATACAAGACCTGAGAATCAAAACAAGGAGAAAAAGTAATAGGTGACACGCTGAGTAATTGTTTCTAAGTTTCTAGGTAAGTCAAGTTTAAGTCTTGCATAACCCAGCTCTTTGGGGAACGTTCCAAAAGTTGCTTGTTTTGTATAGGAAAAGGTTTCTCATACAAAAATCTTTTGAGACTTAATAATTTTTATGAGAAAAAATTTAAAACATTTGACATTTTAGAGACCAAATGATAAAAAAAAAATTAAATATCTCCTATTTTCAGTGCTGTTCTCACCTTAAAGATGGGTACATTGATAGGCGATTCTGCCACTATAACGGTGAATATCCTCGGTTTCGCCCTTAATGTCGTTTTCTGGACGGTGTTCTATTGGTATGCTTCGAATGAGAGCAAAATGAAAATATGGTCAAAAACTGGCATTGCTGTGGCATTTACGGTAGCTTGCTTAGCGTACGCCACTTTTGAAGACCCGAAGAAGATTGAATTCCGTTTTGGTATGCTCATTACCGGCATTCTGGTATTTTTAGTTGGATCTCCACTCTTACGACTCAATAAAATAATCGAAAAAAAGAGTACAGCCGGCATGCCATTTCCAATTATATTTACAGGCACGCTGGTAGCGGCATGTTGGGCCCTATATGCAATTTCTATTCGAAATCCAATGATGGCCGTAAGTGAAAAGAAAATGTTTTACCTACTTATACATATATTTAATTAATAACAATATTCTTCTATTTAGTACCAAAACCTATTCCTATTAGTCCTGAGTTCTATACAATTATCGCTCTTTGCTATTTACCCGAATACACCAACAAACTCGGATTCGAAAGTAACACAATCACCATCTTCATTAGAACACAAGGGGTCTAATAATAAAACATCAATTCCTTCGACAAGCAGCAATGATAATAAAAAGTTGAACTGAACAAGGTTTGCTACAGTTGACGAAGGCTGTGAAAGTGCCTAGAAATCAGATTTGAAGGCTTGGAGATAATAATCTCACTTCATCGTATTAATCTACTAAGATTTACAATAATATGCTTGCGCTTTAGTCATTTTAATCGCTAAGTATTGCCACAACGCATTATTTGTATTGTGTTCTTCCAAATGTGCACAAAAACAGCAAATCGCTTTGAAAATTAACTAATAACACTGTAATTGTAATTTTTGACAATAAAACAAATCTTCCAAATGTAAATTTAACATTAAAGTAAACCGCTACATATGTACATAAAAATATCTTTGAATATTGCGATGTAAAAATTAGCAACTTAGCAAAATTAGTACGTATGCAATTAGTTTGTTGAAATATAATAAAGAAAGAATGAGCATATATGTACATACGTAAGTACATACACACATAACACATTGTAACTTTTCCTATCATTAACCTTTTTTTTTTGCTTTTTGTGGTATATCACTCTGAAAGCGTTTTATGCGAGGGAGCTTACGGTTAATAACTGTGAGAAATGGAATCGCCAACGAAAATAAAGGCCAACCTCAGTAGTTATTTATGACATTTTTTTTGGTTGAAAAGGTCAGTAAGTTTAATTTTGCTGCATAGAAAATATATGATGAAATTGCAACGAAGTAAAACAAACTATAAAGAATAGTAAGTAGAACCATTATTATTCAATCAAATAATCACCGTTATAAACTGTTTTCTTACAAACTTTAAACACTCGAACTTTTTTATCACTACTCGTATCCAAGTCAAAAAAAGTAAGTGCGCCTGGGCCACACTGAAGAAGTGAAACTTACGTTATATACCTAGTTGTCTCATAACCAATATATATGTACATACATACATACACCTGCTTTTGCTTAAGGTTATTTTTTTGTCTTTCTATCTAGATCTCTCCCTCTACCCTGTTCGTTCGAAAATTGTTCTGTTTTCCTTTATATTTATTTTTGTTTTTATACTCTATCGATAACAAAATCGATAGTAACATTCATCAAAATATCGATAACAAAATCTATAAAAATAACGTTAACAAAATCGATAAAAATATAGTTAACAATATCGATAAAAATATCAATTTTTATGTCGATAATTCCGAGAAAACCGAAAATATCTAAAATCCCGAAATAGTTCCCAGATTGAGTCTCTGTGTATCTATCTACATACATATATCCTTTTTTTTATAATTACCTTTGTATTAATCTTTCTTCCCCTACCTTCATCCTTACTTTTATCGGTATCTTCATTCCCATCTTTTCAAATATTTATCTTTATTTTTACCTTTATATTTATTAGTTTCTTCATCTAGGTACACCTTCACCTTTATTTTTAAATTTACCTAGGTCTTCATTTTTGCCTTTATCTTTACGCATCTTTGTTTTTATTTTTACAAGCTTTTTACTTTGCCTTTATCCTTTTCTTTATCTATGTACGTACTCACCTTTACTTTCATTCTTGTATTGGTCTTTATCTAAGTCATATTTTTTAATCTTTTATTAGCACGGAGCAGCTCGGCCAAACACTAGCATATGTGTAAGCGCCGATCTATTATTATTATTATTATTATTAGCACGTTTTTGTTAAATGAATACCATGTGCATACATTTAAGAAGCACTTGTTTCCGTCCCAACCATTTCCGTGTGTAATTTCCGTTGAATTTGCCAATTTACTCCCAACCCAACCAATCGCCGCACAGTGGGGTAATTGATGTCGATATTGCGTATTAATTCAAAAAATGGATTTCAAAATACAAAGAAGGGTTTAGTACCAAATGAAAGTAGATAAAATTATTCTACATCACTGTGTAATCAAAAATCAGGAATGGCATTTAAAAATTTAAATGGGAACTTATTTATTTTTTTTTTTGCAAATACTTATCTATATATCACAGCGCACGGCAGTGCGCGCGAGTGACGAAAGCAGCCACAGTAGCATGCTGAAATGACTCGCTTGTATATACACGAGATTTGGAAGTTTTTATCCAGACGTCCAAACGAAATGTTTGAGACATCGTTGGAAAGGTCTTGAGAAGTGTGTCCAGAAAATGTATTCAAGCTTCATAAACGATTAAACGGATTCCTAAAAATTGGGCTAAAGTGTTGCGAAACAAAACACGTTTTTTTTTTTGCTTTTACCGGTTTAAGGAGGCATGTGGGCACACCCAACATATTTAGTGTTATTTTATAGGCCAATACCTTTCAAACGATACCTTATTTATTAATTTCCTGCTACTAGTTGGAAAGATATAGAGGTAAATGGGTTTTGGTTCGTGTCTCCACTACGAGATGCTTTGGTATGTATGTGGCGTCTGTACATACCTTCATTAAATTTTTTTAAAACTTTCAGGAATTAAAGTACAAAAAAAAACTAAGAAGGTTTTATTCCAGGATGTTTTGATTCGTATGCCTTTGTGGGCGTGGCTGTTGCCTGAAATTCGAAAAAAGGAAATTTTTTTAACTACCACTGAGGCCGCACTACTCAGTCTATGTCATTGATGCGGACGTCAGTAGAAGGGTCTTCAAACAAGCCATCTAACGCTAACTTTTTTGTTTATGAAATATAAATATGTCATAACGTTATCGCCTGAAAACTAAAAATCGGGCTGCTGAAAATAGAGATTTCGGGCATTTTCTCAATAACTAGTCAGTCGATTTTATGCTAGGTTTCCTCAAGTCTAGCCCAAAACCTTAGCTTTTATTTGGTTTATAGCTTATATCTGTGAAAACTCTTGTTGTGGAGATATGGTGATTCAAATTGAAAAAAGTCGCCCCAAATAGCGACCAATGGTTTAAAATAAATTTATATTCCTCTAATTTGGTTACTTTAAGATATAAATATCACATACCCAGTTCCCTGAAAAAAAATGCTCATTCCTCGATTGCCACTTAAACCGAAATTGCCTGCAAATCGGGGGGATTTCCCGCGAGTTGACAAGTTGAAGGATGCAGCTTTGCTAATCACTTCGTAGATGTCTTGGAAACCACAATTTGTGTGCATTTTAGAGCTTTTTTCCAGTCACATGCCGATATTGTAATATTTTTCACCATTTTTATTGTATTTAGCTATGCTACATGGGTTTATCACCCGCCTTCGACCTACCTGGAAAGACGCATACAATATTACCTACAGTTGTACATAAATATGTATGTATGAATGCATTTAGTTCACCCAATGTGCCGCTACTACTTACATACATATGTATGTATAAATTGCCACTGAGCAAAACTACTTGAGAAAAAAGCATTAGTTTAATAGCACGAGTGCAACACCGTACACGTGATAGAAGTAAAACTTCTAAAAAAAACTCATGTGTGCGCCCCACACCCGGTAGAAATCTTAACCAAAATAAACTACGAGACTATCAGACGAAGACAGTTGTTTATTGTATCCAAAGTTGGTACCCAGTTTATAAGTTTTTATCATATCTAATTTTTTTTTTTCGAATACAAAGGATATGATCATTCTTTTTCGCTTTATTCCGTATTCGAAAAATTATGTTTCAATGGACACATCGATTTGAATACATAATTTAGATTTAGATAATATGTTTAGCAATTTATTTGAGAAAAATAAAACATTTAGATTATTGTTATGAATTTTCGTCGATTTTAAATTTGCTACTACAAAATAATTGATATCAAATAAAACACCTCTTTGAGGTAAAATTTTCGTGACGAAAATTATACGCATTTTTTAACTGCCTTTGAAACGTACGGAAAAACTTTTTTTTATTTATTCGGAACGTTGCGAAAATGCGTCTACTGCTAGAAACACAAAACAAAAAACAGAACTTTTGCAACGATTCGTATGAATAAAAAAGATTTTGCCTACGTTTCCAAGGCAGTTAAAAAATGCGTCTAATTTTCGTCACGAAACTGATATCATAAATTTTGTGTTTCTAGTTTACTTTCGTCACTCGAAAATTTTACCTCAAAGAGGTGCTTTATTTGATATATAATACGCGTATAATACGCGAAGGGATTTTTTGTCCAGGACAAAAGATTTACACCGTTCACTCGATTTAAAAAATAGGTGTCAAATTAAGCGCTCGGCCTGTATATGCGCAAACTGGTTTTATTTAAATTCAAATTATTTAATAATCAATATCTGCACCGTTGTTCGATATTCCAAAATGAGGCGTCAAATGAAAAGGCTTGGACTGCAGAAGTGCAAGGAGGTTTTTTTTTGAAAAGAGTTGCCACCTTTTAAAAAATTATATTGCCTGTATATGCGCAAACTGGTTTTATTTAAATTCAAATTATTTAATAATCAATATCTGCACCGTTGTTCGATATTCCAAAATGAGGCGTCAAATGAAAAGGCTTGGACTGCAGAAGTGCAAGGAGGTTTTTTTTTTAAAAGAGTTGCCACCTTTTAAAAAATTATATTCAAATTGCATATTCAAAAAATAATTCAATTATTACAAAATGGGTATCAAACGAAATGGTTTTGAACAGCTTTTTTTCTTAACTGTAGGAGGGCTGCCAGCTGTTTTACATCAAATTCAATTTGAATTATGGGTATAACGTAAGAGAAAAATGTATCATCAACCTTAAGGGGTTTCAGAAAATATTGGCTTGAAAATACTCTGAAGAGGGTTGCCGCCTGCTTGAAATGTCGAATTTAGTTAACTTATACACAAGTTATATGAAATACGAAAATAGAAATCTTTAGTTAGAAAACTAAGAATATTATTGAAGTGTTAGCAGAAGGCTGTCACCTGTTTAAAAAAGTTAAATTTATTTAATAAGTTAAATGAATTGTGAGAATATGGGTATCAAAGGAAGGGGGTTTGAAAATTCTTTTTTTTTCTGAACTATATTTAAGGGGGTTGCCACATGTTTAAAAAATCAAATTCAACTTAATTAATCAGTTAATTAAAATATGTATCGTAATGTCAGACGAAGCAGAGTTAAAAAGGTTTTAGCTTGAAAATACTTTTGAAGAGGGCTGCCACACGTTTGTAAGGTCTCGTTAGGTTAACTGATACAAAAATTATATGAAACAACAATACGGGAGTCGAACGAAGGATTGTTAAGAAATCTTTAGTTTTAACATTCAGAATATTTCAAGAGGGTTGCCACGTATTTGAAAAGTTACATTAAAATTATTCAAAAAGTTGGATGAATTTTTAAAAGGTGGGTATCAATCGATATGGGGTTTTGAAGGCATTATTTCTGATATATGTTTAAGAATTCAGATTCAACTTGAATTAAGGCAAATTGATAATTGAAAGAGGGTTACCATCTGCTTAAAAAGTTAAATTGAGATAATTAAAAAAGTTAAACCTTCTGACCTTTAGTTTAGTTTTCTTTAAGAACTTTTTTTATTTGTATAGGGTGATTTTAAATTCGAGGAAATTAAAAGTCTGCACTTTGCGAGACCTCT